GTTTATTTTGACACCTGTCCCCTAGACAGGAAGTGACAGAGGTTCTGACCTTACTTCACTCTCTAAAATGTATTTGTTGTCATCTCCTTTGGCTGGAGTTGGACCCTAAGATTCCTCCACATTTTTAGATCCTCCGGCTCTGGCTGTATTTGGTTTCAGGCCAGGAGTGGCAGCTCACATACTATTCTCATTTCTTCTTAAGACTCACAGTCCTTCTATAGAATATCTTTGTGTGTCATCTTTATTATCTATAGACAAGCAGAATAGCAGGCTAAAAACAAAACTTACTACAAAAAGCAGAGAGCTATCTGTCCAGTCTAAACAACCCATTGATAATGCATAGAATTTAGGCAGCTCAGACAAATGGATTGTCAGCTATTAAATATACTGTATACATGCCTGCAGAACGTGTTAACATAAGAATGATCAGAGACATTATATAAATGTGTCTAATCTAATGAATATGATGTCTAGCATTGTACAGTCTGCTTCTTAGCAGACTGGAGGGGTAGGCACATAGTATTACAAAGCCAGCACATACAGTGTCCTACATTCAGTATTCTGACAATATAGTTAGATGTAATTGTGAAAAAAGAGAGCCGTTGTATGTAGCAAAGCTTAAATATTTGAGAGTATGCATGTACAATATGACTGCCCTCAGGGGCTGACTGGCAACTTTTAGCCCAGGGGGCAAGTACAACCCAGAGGCCCATGGTGCAGCAACTTGGCCCCCCTCCCGCTCTGCCTCTTCCCCGCCCCTGTCTGCCACTTTTGCCTTCCATGTAAGAGTAGTGAAAGGTCGGCTGATGTGAGGACTCCTAGTAAGTTCATGAAAGGGGTGATTGGCTGGGGGATGGTGCTCTCCTCCCACTGGGCTCCCTACATGGTTTTGGCCTTACTCCGCTCCATGTGTGGTACTTAGGCACTCTCACCCACTGTAGACCGCCGCTGGCTGTCCATGCTTCTGGGCTATGAGCTGTGGGAGGAGAGTGGGAGGTTAGTGGGAGGGGCCGGACAGTGTCAGTGTTCTATAATTTTTCTCGATCCTATACATTATCTCCATTGTGTCACTTCCAGTGGGGCCGAGTCATGACCGCCTTTCTTCATGACATGCGCACCTGGAACAGACGCGGTAGAGAAATTAATGGGTTGAGGAAAATTATAGCACACTGGTAGTGTAGGGATGCCTTGCCAGTGCTGTGCGCGTGTACGACTGCTGCGACACTGGTAGTACTGCCACTAACTCCAAGCTGTAGAGGGACTACAAATCTCAGCACATTATACAGCAATGCAGAATAATACCACCAGCTATAGAGGACTATAAATCTCAGAAAAGTTATCTACTACAGGCACACACACAATGGGAAACCACATCTGAGATCTGCTTACTACTACAGGCACACACAATAGGAAACCAAAAATGAAACCTGCTAACTACTATAGGCACACACAGTAGGAATCCTTACCTTATATCTGCTAACTACTATAGGCACACGCAATAGGAAACCACACATAAGATCTGCTATACAATAAGCACACACAATAGGAATCCATACCTGATATCTGCTAACTACTATAGGCACACACAATAGGAGTCCACATATGAGATCTGCTAACTACTACAGGCACACGCAATAGGAAACCACACATGAGATCTACTAACTACTACATGCACACACAATAGGAAACCACACATGAGATCTGCTAACTACTACAGGCACACACATTAGGAATCCATACCCGATATCTGCTAACTACTACAGGCACACATAAAAGGAAACCACACATGAGATCTGCTAACTACTACAGGCATACACATTAGGAATCTATACCTGATATCTGCTAACTACTACAGGCACACACAATAGGAAACCACACATGAGATCTGCTAACTGCTACAGGCATACACATTAGGAATCCATACCTGATATCTTCTAACTACTACAGGCACCCATAAAAGGAAACCACACATGAGATCTGCTAACTACTACAGGCAGACACAATTGGAAGCAATACCTCAGATCTGCTAACTACTACACGCATACAATAGGAGTCCACACCAGAGATCTGCTGACTACTACAAGCACACACAATTGGAATCCATACCTGAGATCTGCTAACTACTACAGGCACACACAATAGGAGTCCCCATTTGAGATCTGCTAATTACTACAGGCTCGTACGATAGGAATCCACACCAAACATCTATTAGTTATCACAGGAGTTTGAAGCAGAAAACCACTCCTGCTCCTCTTACCGGCAATGCACAAAGAGTTGGCGTCTGTTATGATCGCTTTAACACTTTGCAAAAATTTTAATGAGTTTGGTTGCAGGCGTTTACATATTTAATATTGTTTGTAAAGTGTAAGGAAAACATTAAAGGCTTTGCTGGCTATGAGATAATTCAATCAACAGAAAAGTAAACAGCCCTTAAAATATTACTTATAATCACTCTGAAGATCAGACAAGTGTTTATTTATGGCAGATGTTTCCTAAGGAGGCCTAATGAATGCACTTCTGCTCCTGTATCAGAGAGAAATACACATTATGCTGGAGAATCCCATCCAAGTCAGCATTTCCGATTATCAAGTGACTGAAGAGTTTGCATGTGATGATGGACTGATGATCCAATGTTGCAAATTTCAAGACAGACATTGTGCACCTTCTACTGTAACTATGAGTAAGGTACATTGTGTCTATGAAGGAGGTACATTGTGTCTATGAAGGAGGAACATTGTGTCAATGAAGGAGGAACATTGTGTCTATGAAGGAGGTACATTGTGTCTATGAAGGAGGTACATTGTGTCTATGAAGAAGGTACATTGCGTCTATAAGGAGGAACATTGTGTCTATGAAGAAGGTACATTGTTTCTATGAAGAAGGTACGTTGCGCTTACGAAGGAGGAACATTATGTCTATGAAGAAGGTATGTTGTGTCTATGAAGAAGGTACGTTGTACATTGTCTTCCGTTCCAAGGCGGAGAACCTTGAGAAAGGTGAGAAGTGTAACTCTTTCTTTTTCCGGAAACTCCACTCCGGACACACTCCCCTGTCTGAGCTTCCCGACGAGACCGGAACACTCCAGAAGGGGAAGGAGGCTGTGAGGGAAGTGGTCAGCGGCTACTACACCAACCTCTACTCCCCGAAAGACACGGACGAGACGGCCGCCGACAGGTTCTTGTCAGGTATCAGTAACACTATTGATCCTGCAGGTATGTCGGCCACTAACTCTCCCTTGGCGTTGGAGGAGCTGCACTCTGCCGTCAGATCCTTTAGGCTTGGTAGGACCCCTGGCTGCGACGGTCTGCCAGCAGAGCTCTATGTAGCACTGTGGGACCTCGTGGGCCCGGACCTGCTGGAGCTGTACGAGGAGATGGTGGTGGAGGGCAGAATACCTTCGTCGCTGAGGGAGAGGACGATCACGATTTTGTATAAGCGTAAGGGGGAGAGATGTGACTTGAAAAATTGGCGTCCCATCTCTCTCTTGAATGTGGACTACAAAATCCTCGCCAAGGTACTGGCCAACAGGCTCAAGGCTGTCATCGGACAGATCATCCACCCGGATCAGACTTGCGGTGTACCTGGACGCCGTATGGCGGACAGCCTCGCGCTGGTTCGTGATATCGTCCAGTACATCAAGGACCGCCGTGTGCACGCGGCCCTGGTCAGTCATGACCAGGAGAAGGCCTTTGACCGTGCCTTGCACGATTTTATGGTCAAGGTCCTGCGTAGGTTTGCCCTCGGGGAAATGTTTTGTTCGTATGTTAACCTGAGGTACTTTAATATCCGCAGCTTGGTGCTGGTGAACGGCTGGAAGACTGACCCCTTCCCGGTCCTCTCCAGGGTCAGACAAGGCTGCCCTCTCTCACCTCTTCTTTTTGTGTGTTGTATAGAGCTCTTCGCCGAGTGCATGAGACGGAATCCAGAGATCAGAGGTATCACCGCACCGGGACCGGACAGACGGGAGGCCAAGTGTTCGTTGTACATGGACGACGTGACGGTGTTCTGCGCAGACCAGCGTTCCATCGACGTGCTCGTCCAGACCTGCGAGGACTTCGGCCGGGCTTCGGGGGCAAAAGTCAACTGCGGGAAGTCGGAAGCCATGCTCTTCAGAAAGTGGTACCTGACTTCTTCTGCACCCATTTCCTTCAACATCAGAAAACTCCTGGGCGTCTGGTTTGGATCTGAGGGCGCGGCCCTGAAGTCTTGGGAGGAGAGACTGTCAAAGATGCGGCAGAAGTTCGGACTCTGGAGCCTCAGAGAGCTCGCGATCGAAGGAATGAGACTGGTACTCCGCAGCGAGATCCTCCCTGTGTTGCAGTACCTCGCCCAGGCCTGCCCCCCCAGGGTCAAGACATGCAAGGCCATCACCAGGGCGGTGTTCCACTTCATCTGGGGCTCCAAGATGGACAGAGTGAAGCGGACGGTTATGTTCAAGGAGCCTTTCAAGGGTGGAAAGGGCGTCCCGGACATTGTCACCATGCTGAGGGTTTTCTTTGCTTTGATTGACAAGACTTTGGACGCTGCCGGGAACTCCATGTCCCGTGTTTTCCTCCTGCCTCTTTGGAGGTCCCTGGGATGGGACAAATGGGACAGTTCTGTCCCCTACAACTGGAACACTCCTTGGTTTTACTTTCAAGTTCATCAGAGAGCACGCACTGCATGGAGTTAAACCGGACTTGTGGAAGCCAAAGACTATTTACAAGCTCATCAGAGCTAAAGACACTGTTGAGACTGTTCCGGGCCTCCCTCCAGACACCTGCAAATTTGTCTGGAGGAGTGTCTCATCTAACAGACTCAGACTTTCATGCATGCCAGAAACCTGTGCAGATACAGGCATTGCCCCTTTTGCATCACTGAGGAGGAGACTGCCCTGCATCTCTTCTGGCATTGCCCTGTTGCACAGGCCCTTGAGGGCTCTGGAACATGAACTCAAATACTTTGTGACAGCGATTACTCACTTTGGTGTGATGTATGGACTGTCTTGTGGCACTTTTACAGAAGAAGAAATCGGAGGCGCTTGGCGGGTGATGTGTTGCTTCAAGGACGCTATTTGGTGCGCAAGGAAGCGCCTCACCCTCCGGAGGGAGAGGATGTCCACTGAGGACTGTTGCAGACTGTCAGTCTGCTCAGAGACTATCACCTTATGGACTTTAAGGAGGAAGAGGACGTTTGAGAAGATTTCCCCTTCCCCCCTCTCCTTCTTGTGCCTTTTGTCCTTCAATAAAGCTGCGAGCCTGTGAACTCTTTTCCCCCTCCCTTACCCCTCTTCCCTCTCCCCCATCACACCCGTTGCTTTGTTGTTGGTTGCTTATGTTCGCTGTGTTGTCGCGGTGCCATGTACGATATGTGGAACCTTGAGTTCCGCACGTCAGACATTGCGCCGCAAGGTTTATTGAAGTTTATTTAGGTTAAGGTAATCGATGTGGATCCTACGGACCACATACTCAGTATGGGGTAATGCGGTGTCATGCATGACGTCGAGGGCTCAGGACTCTTGTCTTGCGCTACACGTCAGGCATCTCCCCGCAGTGCGAATGTCATTTATTGTGTGATTGAGCTGTATTGGTATGTGGTGTTTATGCGCTGCGTCGCAGTACAAGGTAGAATGTACCTTGATTGTATAGCTTGTTTTTGTATATTTTATTACATTAATAAAGTATACATTTTTTTGCAGCATTACATGTAATAAATCTTATCTAAGCCCTTTGGAAAAATCGGGGGGTAGCGTTTGAGGCCCCCAGTACCTTGTAATTTGACAACTAGTGCACTAGACATTGATAATGTTTGCAAATATGTCCTTTATATACCGGGATTGCTCTTCTTTTCCCTTTTTACACTGCTGTGCCCCTTGGAAGCATAACAGGGCCTTCTTTCCTCTCTTTAGAGGGTCAGTATCTGGACTTTTAATTGATCACTAGCCCATTACTCAAATATCCCCTCAGTTTGACTGAAATTATAAAGGCATGTTTCTATTGAACATCAAGTTCCACATGGGTATGTCTCGGTTCGGGGGTGAGCATGGCACACACTATGTAAAGACCTGGGTAGCAATACTTATCAGTAATGGGCCTTAGTATATTGCTGTTCATCTTGATGCACATAACAACCATCTTGCCATTAATGCCAACTAGAATGTCACCTGCTGAACCTGTTGTTCTACGTGTTGCTGCCTGACTTGCCTGTTGTAGTGGAACAGTTACAAAGGAACATCTACTTTATCTTGGAAATGACAACAAAGGCACATTTAGAGATGTTCAATAATGGCAATCTACAAACAGATACTTATAGATCATTGCAGGCTTTTTATTCTTTGCATACTTTCATGTTACACACACTTTGTGATATTATTTGTGTTATCTGTCTCTGATATTTGTCTCCACCCCTCATCATAGTTTAGTTTTCCTCTGTGTAGATAACTCCACCTTTCTTCATTATGTTCCAGTCTGCATCTCAACCACATGTCCTTTGTTAAGTGGATCACATTATGATCTTTTGTCCTATCCTATGCTCACTGTTCTAAAGATCTGCACAGTTTGGATTAAACTTATCAACGACCTTCAAGGTGCCATAGGGAATCAGCTACTGTCTGCCAATGCTACTGAGGTTGGGAGTCATTGCCATCCCCCCACAACTTTAAGTTACAGAGATCACACTCTCAATTTAAAGACTGGGGAAGCAGAACACATACCAGACCTTATTTTAATTTTCCTCCTCATTCTTCTCATGGATTAATTAATCACTCTTTAGATCCTGGATCTTTGTTTCTACCTCCTGGAACATGTGACAGTGCCCACCATCTGAAGGGAAACATGCCGTTCCCGAGATCTCGTGAGATTTTGCAATTTACAGATGAGATTTCCCAGGAAGGCACTGGTGATGTAGCCTTCCCAGGATGCATCTGTGACGCCAGGGCTATGTCACCAGTGCCTCACTCCAGCCAGGAAATGGAAAAACAGTAATTGTAAGTAAAAGCAAAACATTTGTAACTATCCTTTTTTTGCAATCCTTCTTGTCAACTACTGTAACTCCCTCCTTCTTGGCCTACCACTACAAAGGCTATCCCCCTCTACAGTCTACCATTAATGCTGCTGCCAGACTCATCCACCTCAACAACCATTCAATGTCTGCCACACCCCCTCTGCAAAGGACTCTACTGGCTCCAAAGTGGGAGCCAGTGGAGGGATTGGCCGAGAGGGGCGGCAGACATGTGCCCATTGAATACATTTTAAAATACTAACAACAGCATACAAAACCATCCACGACTCTGAACCCAGCTACACCTCCAACCTCAAGTCAAAATATCCTCCTAACCCTCCTGTATTGAATTGTATTGTAACTGTACTGTCTCCCTCCATTTTGTAAATTGCTGTGCAATTGGCGCTGTATAAATCCTGTATAAGAGTAATAATAATCATAATAACTAATAAATGTAAGATAATTTCACATCAGCCATTGATGTAATTTTTAGTGAAAGGGGGTAAAGGTCTGCTTTAAAGAATTGAAAGCTATTCTTGTAGAATGTCCGTAAAAACATCTAACAGAAAATATATTGCAGCATGTGAAGCATTTTGCAATTGTAGTGCCAGCCGCAGCTTTCATTCTGCTGTGTAAACATCTGCATTACCCACAATAGGATGCATTTTGCAATGCACATTCTTGAGTCTGTAAACCCGAGTGTGGATGAACCCTTAGCATAGTATTTTAAACCACCAGTCTATCAACCCTGCAAAGGAAATGCATTCATGCATAAAATAAGATGACAGAGCTGCACATGTATTTGGTAAAGCAACAAGTTTAACCTGACAGAAGTTGAGATTTATAATGATATTTTCCAGAATTACATCCTAAGGAATGCGCCGTGCATCTGTTCATCCCACCTCGAGCCTCCGAAGATTTTAGCATTTATATTGGAGGGCTGATTCACAGCTGTAAGTTTGCATAATTATCATTAGCTTGTATATAAACTATCATCTTTTCCAAGTGGAGCTGGAAATCAATAAAATGCTGAATTACATTCAAAGGCGGATGCAAGGTTTGACATTAGAGACAGGGGAATTCGGTAATGTATTCTTCTGCTTCAAAATATTTATTCAATCAAATCTGCATACCATATGTACTGATGATTGGATTTGTAAATTGAATTAACTGTAGCTGGGGTCATGTAATGACTTGGTAGAGTTGGTAACTTTTTTTTCCCCTACTGGTAACTGGTACTGTCAAAATATTGAAATCATCAAAGCAAGGGGAAATTATTTTTTGGGGGGGGGGAATGCGCAATGAAACATAAAAGCTGTCATAACAGGAACAACAATAACAATTGAATTGAATGGTTGCTTTTTTATGGAACAATGCATGGATTTTTTCAGAGACATATAGGTATTAAAGAAGAGATCCAGGTAAAGATGTTACCAACCCTTGTAGCGTGGCAACCCCTGCACTGCAAGGGTTAAAAGAGAACTATGAGGTAAGTGTTTTTTCCCCAGTTCTCTTTAGGGTCACGGGAGGACATATACTAGCGTCCTCCCGTGACCCAAAGCTCAGTATATCGTGAGCTACAGCTCGCAGTATACTGAGAGCGCTGCAGCCGGGACGGATCCCGATAATGCTGTCGAAATCCACCCAGCTGCGTGAGTGACAGCTGGCTCTGCCTATCTAGAGGCAGAGCCAGCTGTGCCCGCCCCCTCCCCGTCTGTTCCTCCAGTCAGCGCTGGAGAATCGGAGAGGGGAGGAGGGGGAATCCCTGCAGGGAGCCATGACTAACAGTTTCTGGTTCATCTTATTAGCTCTCTGTTTTTCCCTAAAGTTGACACAGAGCTAGAAGTCAGATTAGATGAATCCCCTGCATTTGAAGATTTACTTGGACTATTAATAACTAAAAGGGTTTCTGGTGGTGCTGAATCTAGGAATGGTGAAGATTCAATCCAAAAGCATCCGCTGAAAGCAACAACATCAGTTTTTAGGTCAACGTAGTCCTTTAATTGAAGTAAGAAATATGGTGATCTGGTTTGGAAAAAGCACATTTGTTTTCATTTTGGAAAGAAAGAGGTAAAAGGAAACATAATCCCCTCTTGAACATTAATAGTTTACTGCTTGGGTCAGTAGCTGAGGTTACTATGGAAAGAGAGATAAGCCTTGTCTTAGTCTTTGTGGTATGTGAATCACAGAGTAGAAAAACCTCCGTAGACTTTCTAGTGGTTTTGTGGTCGGAATATTTTAGATGTTCTGGTCAGTCGCTGGTAGAATGTTGATATTTCACTGACAACTATCGTTCCATGGGTTGAGCGATTACATGATGTTCTGAACATTTCTTGGCTTTAGTCAATTCGAGGAAAAGTGTTAAAAAGAATGTAAATTGTATTTATTTTTTAGGCATAGTTGACTTAGGGATTCATTGAGTAACCCTGGCCCCTCATAATCCCTTCTTTAACCCCACAAAATACACCAAACTGTATTACATGGATTTTAAATAGACCATGGCTGTTTTTTTAATAAATATATTTAAAAAAAATAAATTCCACAATATCCGTATACAATATTTAAACAATATACATAAATTGTGCATGTCTATTGGCATACTAAAGTGGTCAGACTTTTTTTTTCAGTTTTAGATAAAGTAGAGACAGAGCAGGAAGCAAGAGGAGATCTCTCCTTAGAAGAGAGGTGATATCCCCTCTTAGACAGGTGTCACAATAACGGGTATTGTCACGTACCTGGATGGAGACCGAGCTGAACAGGGGGCTACCCTTGCACCTTTAGTCCAGCTCCCCTGGAGATAGTAAAAGATGACGTGAGGGAAGCACGAGTGGCAAAGAGTGGCATTGTATTTGAACAATGCCCCAAGGAGCACCACTGACACACAGCACATCATTCATTTAACACCAGATAGGAAACCCAGTTACCAATGTAATTATTATTGAATGCTTTCCTTCCAAAACCTCCTTTTTACAAAGCCGCAATGACAATTTTTAAAATGTTCAAACCCGTACTAAAAAAAACAGGTGGGTCGGTGAGATGACTCTTTTCCTGGTTGTTTTTGCGCAGATTGTTTGACTGTCCCTCCCAAGACCTTTTCATTGCTTCCACTACCAATTTGACTTGACCACCCAATAGGTAAGCCCCTCAGCTATTTTCATTAACACTTTTCTAGTATTGACTAAATCCCAGATAGACCACTTCACCTCATATGTCGCCCCTGCACTCATCCATAACCGCGCACGGTATATTCTCATTCTTAGGACTCCGACAGGGTTATTCACAAAAGGTTGAAGAGTTTGGAGAAGGCAGGAGAAGTGAACAATCTAGGACAACATAGCTGAACTGGGAATTGAGCTGAATTGGAGAATCTTTCCAAATCGGCTATTTTGGCCTAGATTGTTCACCTGTCCTGCCTTCTCCAAGCTCTTCACCCTTTTGTGAATAACCCTGCAACTCTCAAAGAGTAAGTGCCAGCAGAATTGTTTCCTTCAGCAACAATTTATTGAAAGATTATCTTGTCCTAGTTATAGTTTTTTTTTTTTTTGGCATTTTGGCATTATCTCAGTACAAATCTATGGGTTTGTTTAGACTGAATGAAAACCACATACTGTACGTGGCTTATCCTGTAAATTATTCTATATCTGCCACTGCTTACCACAAATTGGTGACTGCATGTCTAAAATATAGACGGAGGCTCTACTAATATGTATCTAAAGTGTAATCATAATATTATGGAACAACATGGAAAATTAACTTGATTTTAGGGTGCACTTACAGTGTGCAGGCGCACAAAAGTGATTCTAAAACACATAACTTACCTCAGTGTGAAGACATCCTGAAAGAGAAGAGATCCTGCAATCCCTACCATATCCTTTACAGTTAAGATGAGCATATCTTGTCAAATGCACTCCACTTCAAACCTTTCCATTACCGACTGGAGAAGCTGGGTTTCATAAAGGGATGCATAGAAACTCTTTACTAGTTCAGTGAATATGTTGGCTCACCCAACAAACGAATTCCAATGGCCGCAGGTGTAATTTTAACCCATTGGATGAAAGATTAACATAAAATGAACATGTGCTTAACCCATGTGCTCCCCAGAAGTTCTATTCTCCCTTCAGGGCTATTTGAAATACCAGGTACTTTGTGGTATGGGGAGCATGTGACCTTCTCTCCTTCCTCCCATAAAGCAATGGATTTACCAAAACCTAGACCCCAATCACAAAGGGCAGAAGGAGAATCCTTAGCCCTGTATTTGCTCTAAGACCAACTTGGTGTAGGTAAAAGGCTTATTAACTTTTCACTGACAGGTGAACAGAGGGACAAAGGGAAGGAAAGTATAAGCAGTAAACAGGGGGGGTCAACATACTCAACATATTTGGTAGACTACAATTTACACTCAACATATTCAGTAGTCCACAATGCACATTTCGCCGTGATTTATACCTTTGCAATTGCCGCAAGATCAGGAAAGTGCCCATTGAGCCTGCTTCTATTTCACTGAAACACTCGTTCAGTGTTATCAGCCCTTCCTGAGCTCTTCTATTGCTGCACTACAGAACATCTTCCCTTCTGTGTTCTGTAGTCCAGCTAAGCAGAACATAGATCAAGGCTGATAACACTGGTTGGGATTCCAGTGCTGTAAAGGACAGCTCTTTACAGCAAGATAAGAACTCACTGGCTTTCTGGAGGATCAACAGGTATTTTTATTTACTTGCTGTGGCAAAATGTGAGGAAATGTGCATGTATAGCATAGATATGTTGCATATGTTTATTTAATTATTTTATCCAGATATATACACTTTATGTGTTCCTATTGCATTTACCCAGAAATCATTTGCCCTTTTAAAGAAATGCATTTGCCGTTTTCCTAATGACCCTCATTGCATTTTATTTGTTTTCGGCTTATTTCAAATCATGTTTCAACTCGACAAATGCAAACCTCAATAAATTACCTCTAACCATGGAATGAGTAGAAGCCATGTAGGAAAGCATAATAGTAAAAGCTGAGTTGTTATAAAGACAATAAATCAGGTGTGATGTTGTCAGAATAGACGTTAGTCACGGACCGCCCGTGTGAGGCGTTCCATATACAATTACTGTACATGTTCTTTGCCTCAGTAATAATGCAGGATTCAGTGAGCACTTTTTATTATTGGTTTCAATTTTGTTGTTTTGCTATAAAAGATTTTACATTCATGAGGTGGGAACTGGTCGTCTGTAAAAAATCCCCCAAAAAACAGCCGGTTTCGTGTTTTGTCTGTTGGAGGTAAGGGACGAGATGTTATAAAGTAGATGAATGCTGCTTCTAATAATAATATGAGGACTTCTGTGAATGGTCTTCAATGACTGGGAAACCCAGATGCAAACAATTTCCAATGTTCTTTGTGACTTATTGAAGAAACAATTAGATACTGGTAAATGTAATAGACAATGGCCATTTTTGCCATTTAAAAAAAAAATATTTTGTAGAACAGCTTGAGGGCACTTTATGCCGCACAGCCTGGGCTTTCATGAAGCTGTCCAGTTACAGCTAATCTATTCTCCCCCCGTTATGATATGACACTGTGACAAGGAATGGAGAATCCTGACTGGCTGCATCGGCCGCCGGGCCTGGAGCACCATCCACGTGACCTGGGGGGAAAGTAAAAGTAAAAATGCAGTGAGGAGAAGAGAATAGAGAGAACCCCAGGATCTGTGCCAGATGGGGATAGAGCAAGATGTATGTGAGGTGAAAGTGATTGGCGGCTAGACAGAGCTACTGGGAGCCCCAAGGGACAGCTATGTACTGCTGTGTTGCTTTGTAGAGCACTTCAGAAACGCAGAGCAAAGAGGTACTGTTGTGTGCACAGGGACTAATAGAGCCATAATTTCCTATGTTGTGCTGTGGAGAGGAAAGAGAGTGGACTGTGAGCACTAGATAGGGAGAGGCCTCAGGATCCAGCTGATGAAGGCTTGAGATGGGTGCCCCGTGTGCAGTGTGACCCCTTGCCTTCAACGG